ATTTTTAATAATTTTTAGGCTTTTGGCAGGGAATGTAACCCCATATTGTAAAATTGTTTCCACACGATAGATCCATATTTTTATGTCACTTTGATATAAAGAGCTATATTTTCAGTGACTGCTTGTTTAGTTAAAAATGAGGCAATCTGGGGCACCTGGGTGGCTCAGTGGATTGAGTATCTGCCTCTTGATTTCAGCTCAGGTTGTGATCTCAGGGTTGTGGGATCGAGCCCCACATCACATCGGGCTCTGTGCTCAGTGGGGAGTCTGCTTGGGATTCTCTCTTTCTCCCTCTGCCCCTTCCCGTACTCTCACTTTCACTTGCTTTACCTCTCTCTCTCTCTCTTAAATAAATAAATCTTTTTTAAAAATGAGGCAACCTTTTTAAAATTTGAATTTGACTAATTTTGCATTTTTAATAATTTGAATAGATTATATAGAAGAAGATTTGTGTACTCTTGGAGGTAGGAGTTCAGGTAGTTGACTAATTATATGGAGTTTATATCTCAGAGAAATTTGAAGTGTTTTAAAATTATCATTTATATTTACATGGTAGGTGTACAGTGAAATGAATTTTACTGTCTCCTTGTCCACAAACAGAAAAATTGGTTAATCACATAAAGCAAACAAGATATACTGAGAAAGGTTTCTAGCCTGTTCAAAAAAATAGAAGTAGACCAAACGGGTTTCAAAGACGGGTTTCTATTTGATCAGTTTAGTAAGCTAACTTTACATTTATATGTGCTAACTGTACATATAAAAGAGGAAGGTGAACCAGTTTTAACATTCTTCAATTTGTATCTGAAAGCAATATTTTAGAAATATTTGCTTTTTAGTAGGACTTCCTTAGTAGGAGTTGAAAACATATTCTGTATTTTCTAATAGATTTCTTAACTAGAGGCTGTTATTAGGCAGTTGCCGCTTCTACAATATATCTATGAGTTTGGAACAAAGAAAGATCCTTCTTTGGGAACTGAAATAGGTTTTGTGAAGCCTTTAGACATTATGTAGGAAGCTCTTATTCAGAGTATATATTCCCTTTATAATTTTAACCATTTTGATAATATCGTTTCTTGGTAAACAGGTAATGAAGTAAAAACTCAAACAAAAAGAGAATTATAAGTTAGGATCTTTTTCTACTAAAGGGATAGGGAAATAGAAATATATTTTAGCAGTACCTATTTGAAAAGAGTAAAAAAATTGATTTATTAAATGTGGTATTTGTTTACCAAGTATTAGCCTGGAGAAATGAAGCGTACATGGGATTTCTATTTGTTATTAATAAAAATAGCATTTTATATTGTGAACTTTTTGTTGCTTGTTTGTTTTTGTTGGTTAAGTTTTCTAAGTTTTATGGTCAGTAAGTAATACCAACTTTGGTGTAATATATTACTAATAAATGACTGTGAAAGGTGGAACCATTTGATTTAAATCTAATAACAGAAAAAACATTATTTGTGAACTATTAAAATCTGCTTTTTTGCACTTTGGAGAAATGGCTGATTCTAAAGCAAGGAAAATACAAAATAAGCAGAGATCAAGTACTTAAGCAAATAGAATCTAAAAGGCTAAAGCTAGAATGGTTTTAGCACAAAATAATGATAGTGTTTAATTTTAACCTAAAAAATAAAATAAATACCCATGAGTCCATACTGATAGGAAAAAATGATGAATATAAACAGATGGAGCTGAAAGAACAAATCTTACATACAGAATTCCAAATAATAATTGTGGATTCTACTCTTTCTAAGGGGTAGAGCTTAAGTGTCCTCTATTTTAGTGTGGGGTAGACTTAGTGATTCATCTTAAAAGCTGAGTGCATGTTTGCCAGGCAGGAAAGAGGACTGTATTGGGCATTTTAGACACAGTGTAAATAAAAGCATTGAAATAGCAAGACATGTTCTTCCAGTTTCTATTGTGAAGATACACACACACACACACACACACACACACACACACGCTGGGTTATATTATTTGAACTTCATCCTGTTCTTGGTGGGTCATACATTAGAAGATAACAAGCATCAACTAAGGAACCTTCCTGTAAAGACAGTTTTACAATATGACATGGAGGTGGATCTTGAAATAAGAGACTGAGAAGCAGTCTAGATTTGAGAAGAAACAGAAGTAGAAGTGAGTAATATTATAGAAGCCAAGGTCAAAGAGTGTTTAAGGAAGATCTTTAGTGTCAAGTTCCATTAAAAAAAAAAAAAGAGACTTGAGAAATTTGGTTTGGAAATTCATAGATTGCCCATGATTTTGAAGTACCTCTGGAGGAATAGGTGAGGAAAGGCCAAGTTACAGTGGGTTGAGAAGTGAATGAGAAGAGGGAAGTAGAGGAAATCAAGGCTTACTGAAGGGAAAGCGGGAGATCAAGTAGGTGGAAGTTTAGCAGGGGAGATAGGGTTAAAAGAGGGTTAGTTGAAGATGAGAACTATGTGTTTATACACTGGGAAAGATCCTCGTTGAAGAGCTGAAGACACGAGTTAGGAGAGAAGATAAGTAACTACTGAAGTAGAGTGCTCCAGAGGAACTAGAATGATGGACTAAAGATTTTTATGCAGGTGTTAATTTTGAAATGAGTGATACTTCCTCCTCACACATAAGCAATAAGGAGGGTCGGTGGTATATATAAACTTGGAAATCATTATATGGAGAAGAAAGTTGAGGTTTATTTCTATGCCTTCTGTTTTCGTCTCTGGTGAAGAAAACAGTTTTATGCTGAGACTGAGGAAGTTGAAATGTTAAGGGCCTTGAAAAATGTGTGTTGGGGTTGGAATGGTCACTGTGATGAAAAGAAAATGGAGTAAATTTGGGATGGTTGAAAATCTTGCCAAACAAATCAAATCCAATAATATGTTAAAAGGATACCATGTCATAATCAAGTGGGTAGAACTTTTCCAGGAATTCAAGGCTGGTTTAACAATTAAAATTAACTAGCATAATTCACCATATTATAAATTAAAATAGAAAAACCATATAATTATCTTGACGTAGAAGCATTTGACAAAGTACAATACTCAATCACTCATGATGAAAATCCTCAGTAACTTAGAAAAAAGAGAACTTTAGCAGGGCACCTGGGTGGCGCAGTTGGTTAAGTGTCCAACTCTTGTTTTTGGCTGAGGTTGTGATCTCAGGGTTGTGGGATTGAGCTCTGTATCAGACTCTGCACTCAGGGTAGAGTCTGCTTGAGACTCTCTCCCTCTCCTTCTGCTCCCCACTGCGCCGTGTCTGCTCTCTCTCCCTTTCTCTAAAATAAATAAATAAATCTTAAAAAAAAAAAAAAAAGAACTTTCTCCACTTAGTCAAGAGCATCTATAAAAAACTGTAACAGCTAGCACCATACTTAATGGTGAAAGACTAAATCTTTCTACCAAGATCAAGAACAAGATAAAGATGTTCATTCTCAACACTTCCATAAAACACTGTAGTGGAAGTTCTGTCCAATATAAACAGGCAAGAAAAAGAAAGAAAAGCATCCAGATTAGAAAGAAAGAAGTAAAACTGTCTTTATTTGCAGATCATTTGGTCATTTGTGTAGAAAATATAAGTGGAGACATATACTTTGTTAATAGTTGGGAAGACTTGATGTTACTGTGGTGTGAATTCTCTCAAAATGGATCTGTAAATCCAATGCAATTTCAATAAAAACCCCAGCGTGATGTTTTATAGAATTAAACAAGGTGATTCTAAAAGGCATATAGAAATGTAAAAGCCTAGAATAACCAAAACAACTTTGAAAAAGGACAAGAAATTTGGAGAGCTAACATTACTTAATTTGAAGACTTAATAGAAAACCCTTGAAAGACACTCTGCAAAGAATGAAAAGATAAACCAGAGACTGGGAGAACAATCCTGCCAAACATGTATCTGATAAAGGACTAGTTAGTACATGCAAATGCACAAAACCTAACAGTAAGAGGAAAAAACAGTTAAAACCTTGGGAAAAGATTTTAACAGTTCACCACAGAAGATAGATGGATGGCAAAAGGCAATGAAAAAGTGCTTAACATTAGCTATTAGGAAAATGCAAATTCAAACCAAAAGAGATAGTTATTATATACCTACTAGAATGGCTAAAATTTAAAGGATTGACCATACGCAAGTGTTGGTGATATGTGGAGGAACTGGCATACTCCTACAGTGCCGCTGGGACCATAAAACAGAATAACTCCTTTAGAAAACAGTTTGGCAGTTTCTTAAAAAGTTAAACATATACCTATCATGTGATCTAGCCATTCTACTTTTAGGTAGTTACCCAAGAGAAAAGGAAATTTATGTTCATGTGAAGACTTATACATGGATGTTAATAGCACCTTTATTTGTAATAGTAAAAAACTAGAAACTACCTAAAAGTGTATCAGTAGGTGAGTGAATTGACAAACGTAGTATATCTGTACAGTGAACTACTACTCAGTGAAAACGAATGAACTCTTGATACGTGCAGCAAAACGAGTGAATCTCAAAATAATTGTGCTGAGTGAAAGAAAGCAGACAAAGTATATATTGTATGATCTCATTTATTTAAAATTCTAAAATATGAAAACTGTAGTGACAGAAAGTAGTGGGTGCAATGAAGAGGGAGGGATTATCAAGGTTCACAAGGAGACTTTTGGGAAATGCTTACTATTTTGGTTGAAATAGATGCATGGGTATATACATGTCAGACCTTATCAAATTTGTATTTAAAATAGTTGCAGTTTATTTTATGTTAATTAAATTCCACGAAACTAATAATTTAAAAGGGAACAAAAACTTTTTTGCCAAGATGTTTGTGATACAGTTGAAAAGTGAAAGGACAAAAAATGAGTTAAAATGTCATTGAGTATTTGGAAAAAGGGTTCACATACATTGTCTTGGTAGCCTTAAGTAGTTGCCAGTGGTATTTTTATTTCTCAGTGTTTGAATGTCTTTCTTCATGTGAATTGTGAATATAAAGGTATTGAGAAAAATGACACTTTACTCTTCTTTCTCTCCCCCCCCCCTTTTTTTTAAAGGAGTGACAGTTCATTCAGATTCTTTGTATTCTTCTTCGTCTATATTTGTCAGTTTGCTGTTCATGTACTCCAAGCTGCAGGATTTCATAATTGGGGCAACTGGTAAGTCATTTACTTTAATTACTCCAGTTTTAATCTGTTTATCTAGTATCTCTACATAATTTTGGCTTCCTAAAAATAGTTAACATAGAAAAGCCAGATTAGCAAAAGTAAACAAATGTAAAAATAGTAAAAAATGCAATTTAAAAAATGTCAAAGGCATATAACCTTTGGGCAAACCATTCTACTGAAAATTATGTTGCCATTTTTTAAAAACAGCATATTATATCTAGTTTAAAAATGTTTATATAACGGGCACCAAGAGGAAGAGTAAAAAGGATACTGAGGAGGGGTCAAATACCTGGGCCAAAGATTGTGGAAGGGAGAGAAAAGAACTTGTAGGACTTTAAGGAAAAGGGTATCTATTATGTGTAAAGCACTATTTTAGGTATAGAGACATATATTTCCATACACACACAAATACACACATATGCACATGGACACTTATCTTTGAAAAATGGGATCACTGCAATGCTCACTCTGTGGGAGACCCTCAGAAACTGAAACTAAATTATTTAGACTCAGGCTAGGAGAAAATGGCAGATGGGTATGGCTCTTCATACACTTTGGAGCAAACATTCCTTAAATGAAATGGTGGGTGGAAGAGTACACATCTCTAAAATTATCCCTCCCTCTCTTTTATTATAATTGAGTTGCATACTGTTGAATTCTTATAAGCAAAAGTGGCAACTTTTGCAAAGCAAGGCAACTTTGCTGCAGTGTTTACAAAAACTAAGGCTGTAACTAGAGTATATTGAGGACTTAAATTTAGTGTGCTCGTTCTGAATCAGAGTGGAGACTGGCAGACAACTATAGGTAGCTTTGTGGATCCCTTAATGGTCATGCATACATGCAGAGAATTTATATGGAAACTTTAAATCAGTTCTAAAAAAAACCCATACATTATCATTTCAAATAGTGTATTTAGTCTTTGGCATATGAGGGAAAGGAAATGTTTTAAATGTTTAATTTAAAAATATACTGCTTATGTTAACAGCACAAGTTTTTTTATTCTTATGAAATTGAATTTCTTTTGCTTTTTAGCACAAATTTAGAAAAAAGTGTTAAAATTGAGCATAACATTGTGTAGTGGCCACATAGGACAGTAGACTGCTAGTGAGGGGGCATATAGGATGATGTGTTTTAAGATATCTAGACCTCCTGTGATTCAGCAGATTTTTAAAAAATTAAAAATTTTTATTTATTTTGAGATAATTGCAGATTCACATAGTTATAAGAAATAATACTGTTTACCCAGTTTTTTCCATTGGTAACATCTTGCAAAACCGTGATGTCATGTCAAAACCAGGATCTTGACATTGATAGAGTAAAGATAAAGAACATTTCCATCACCAGAGGATCTCCCATGTTGCCCTTTTAGAGCACATTCACTTCCCTTCTGCCCTCATTTCCTTCTTAACCCCAGCAGTCACTAATCTGTTCATCATTTCTATTATATTATTTCAAGAATGTTATATATGTGGTATTATAGGGTATGTAACTTTTGTCTTTTTGTGCTTGGCATAGTTCTCCGGAGATTCATCTAGGTCGTTGGGTGTATCAGTAGTTTGTTCGTTTTTATTCCTGAGTAAAACCTTGGATGTACTACAGTTTAATCATTCACCAGTTGAAGGACTCTGGACCGTTTCTAGTTTTAGGCTTAGCCTCTGTAAACATTTGTGAACATCCATTTTCACTTCTCTGTGATAAATACCAAAGAGTATAATTGTTGGTTCATATGGAATTGCATGTTTAGTCATTTTTAAGAAACTAACAGACTGTTTTTCAGAATGGCTCTGCTGGGTTACATTCCCACCAATGTATGAGTGACTCAGCCTCCACGTCCTGACCAGCATTGGTGTTGTCACTTTTTAAAGTTTTAGCTATTCTGCTAGATGTATAGTGATAGCTCACCGAGGTTTTAAGTTGTATTTCTCCAGTGACTCAAGATGTTGAATGTCTTTTCATGTGATTATTTGCTTCTTTATAGTCTCTTGAAACATCTTTTCATGTCTTTTGCCCATTTTCTTTTTTTTAAATTTTTTTAAATTTTATTTTGTTATGTTAATCACCATACATTACATCATTAGTTTTTGCTGTAGTGTTCCATGATTCATTGTTTGCGTATAACACCCAGTGCTCCATTCAATACGTACCCTCTTTAATACCCATCACCAGGGATGCCTGGGTGGCTCAGTCGTTAAGTGTCTGCCTTCAGCTCAGGTCATGATCCCAGGATCCTGGGATCAAGCCCCGCATCAGCCTTCCTGCTCAGCGGAAAGCCTGCTTCTCCCTCTCTCACAACCCCTGCTTGTGTTCCCTCTCTCGCTGTGTCTCTCTCTGTCAAATAAATAAATAAGTAAGTAAAATGTTAAAAAAAAAAAAAATACCCATCACCAGGCTAACCCATCCCCCACCCCCTACCCTCTAGAACTCTCAGTTTGTTTCTTGGAGTCCATAGTCTCTCATGGTTCGTCTCCCCCTCTGACTTCCCCCCCTTCATTTTTCCCTTCCTACTGTCTTCTTTTTTTTTAACATATAATGTATTATTTGTTTCAGAGGTACAGGTCCATGATTCATTAGTCTTACACAATTCACAACACTCACCATAGCACATACCCTCCCCAATGTCTGTCACCCAGCCACCCCATCCCTCCCAACCCCCCACCACTCCAGCAACCCTGAGTTTGTTTCCTGAGATTAAGAATTCCTCATATCAGTGAGATCATATGATACATGTCTTTCTCTGATTGACTTATTTCACTCAGCACAATACCCTCTACTTCCATCCACGTTGTTGCAAATGGCAAGATTTTGTGGGGTTTTTTTGATGGCTGCATATTATTCCTTTGTATAAATACACCACATCTTCTTCATCCATTCATCTGTCGATGGACATCTTGGCTTTTTCCATAGTTTGGCTATTGTGGACAATGCTGCTATAAACATTGGGGTGCACGTACCCCTTCGGATCCCTACATTTGTATCTTTGGGGTAAATACCCAGTAG